ACCCCTTATAGTCAAACCCTCTACCTACCCTCAACCCAACAACTGACCTGTTTTTTATCTTTCTATATAAATAGACACATACAGTGTGTAGCCTGTTTGAATATGGCTTCTTTCACTTAGCATAATGCATTTGAGATTCATCCATATTGTTGAATGTATCAATAGCTTTTTCCTTTCTGTTCCTGAGTAGTACTCCACGGTATGGATATACCATAGTTTATTTACTCACAAGTTGGAGGACATTTGGATAGCATGGTAGGTGGGATTTGGGACACCCTGATCTTTGTTCCTGATATTATGCTGGTAACTATATTATATTACATGATAAAAGGGAAATGTTTGTTGATGGAATCAGGAGTATAGCCTGCAGATGGAATTAAGGTTGATAATTAGCTGACTTTAAAATAAGATTATCCCTATGAGTCCAGTGTAATCACAGATCTTTAATGAGGAACACAGATGCAGCAGTCAAATAGAAGCAGAGTGAGAAGAGTTTGGCTTGCTGTTGGCTTTGAAGATAGAGGAAGGGAGCTATGAGCTAAGGCATGGGGCAGTCTCTAGAAGCTAATAACGGCCCTCAGGCAATAACCAACAAAAAACAAGAATCTCAGTCCTACAACTGCAATGGACTGAATTCTTGGAAAAATTTAAATGTATAAGGAAATATATTTTCCCCAGAACCTCCAGAAAGGAACTTAGCTTTGTCAACACCTCGATTTCAGCCTTGAGAGATTCTGAGCTTTTGAGATTCTAAGCAGAAACTAAGCTAAATTTGCTTTACTGCTGACCTATGGAAACTGTGAGATAATAAATTTGTGTTGCTTAAATAGCCACTTTTGCAGCAATTTGTTATGACAATAATGGAAAAATAATATAGGTAGATTCTCTTTGGGGACATTTATGAAAAAAGTTGTTATAAAACTTAAATATATATGTTTTTATTTAAATCTGAGTGTTGATTTTTCTTGGGAAAATACCTAGGAGTGTCACAGTCAATTCTCATTATTTGTGATAGCAGTGTTCTATAAGGTCATTTTGAACATTGAATTCGCAAATAATAAGACATTGCCCCTAAGGGAAATGCAGAGTTATGTTCCTGCAAGCCTCTGGTTACAATGACATTTTTGTCAACTGATCAATACATAACCTTGTTATATATGTGTTAAAAACACTTTATTTAATACATATTGTTAATCAGGGGCACCTAGATGGCTCAGTCGGTTGAGCATCCGGCTTTGGCTCAGGTCGTGATCTCGCGGTTCGTGGGTTCGAGCCCTGCGTCAGGCTCTGTGCTGACAGCTAGCTCAGAGCCTGGAACCTGTTTCGGATTCTGTGTCTCCCTCTCTCTCTCTGACCCTCCCCTGCTCACGCAGTCTCTCTCTCTCTCTCTCTCCCTCTCTCCCTCTCTCTCTCTCTCTCTTTCTCTCTCAGAAATAAACCAAAAAAAAAGAAAAAATATATATATTGTTGATCATTAACCTTGAACTCATAGCTAACAGCATTGTAACTCATGGCTAAATGAAACTGATCTCACATATGTATTTTCTCTATATTAGCCTTATTGTGTTTGGAAATACTAAGCACCAATGAAAGATTACACACTTGGATGCCATTTTAAAATCACCAACAAAAAGCACAAAAATGCAAACAAAAAATCCCACCAAAAAAAACAATCAAAGAAACAAAAACAAAAAACCCCACAAAACTAAATAAACCAAGGAAAGGACATTTATTTACAATATGAGAGTTAAAACAAGAATCCAGAGGACTGCCTTGTTCATTCTCAGCTGGGAACATGAATGTAAAGTTAGTCAAAATTTTCATTGTTCTGCACATGCCATCGAATGACTGCAAGCACCTCACAAGTATTGATTTGGGTTATAAATAAATTTCAGCAAGTGGTAAAGTTCACAAGTACAGATATGAATAATTAGGATTGATTGCATTGTCAGAGCATATGGTGAGTGTATATTTACCTTTATAAGAAAATGCCAGACTATTTTCCAAAGTCACTGTACCATTTTGTATTCTCACTAACAATGTATGAGAATTCTAGTTGCCCACTCCCTCACACTGATTAATATTGTCAGCTTTTCTGGCTTTAGGTATTCTAAGAGATATGTAATGCTGTCTACATGTAGTGGTAGCTTATTGAAATTGTAATTTACATTTCAGTAATAAAAGATGATTCTGAGCATCTTTTCATCTATTTATTTGGCATTCCTGTATCCTCTTTGGTGACGATATTATTGTTCAAATATTTTGCTCATTCATTAAAAATTGGGTTGTTTCAGGGGTGCATGGCTGGCTCACTTGATGGAGTATATGAATCTTGACCTTGGGGTTGTCGGTTCAAGCCCTATGTTGGATGTAGAGATTACTTAAAAAAATCTTTTAAAATATTGGGTTGTTTGATTTCCCATTATTGAGTTTGAGAATTTTTCCCATATTCTAGATGTAAATCCTTTGAGAGATATGTGATTTGCCGATTTTTCCTCCCAGTTTATGGCTTGTCTCTTCACTCTCTTAATAGTATCTTTGGCAGAGCAAATGTTTTAGATTTTAACAATGTCTAATTTATCAATTTTTTTATGGGTCATGCTTTTAGTGTTGGATCTAAAATCTTTTTGTCTGACATAAAATAATGCAGATTTTCTGTTATACTTTCTTCTAGAAATTTTATAGTTTTACATTTTCAATGTAGGTCCATGATTCATTTTGAATTAATTTTTGTGAATTGTATAAGATATAAATTGAAATGTAGATAGATAAAATAACCAATTGTTTCAGAGCCATGTGCTCAAAGACTATCATTTCTCTATAGAAATTTTCTTACATCTTTGTAAACTATAAATTAACCATATATGTATTGATCTACTTCTGGACTTTATTCCACTGATCTGTGTGTCACTATATTCTATAATACCACAGTATTTAATTAGTGTGGCTTTTTTTTTTTTTTTCCTATTCTTTGATAGAGAAAGCATGAGCAGGGGCAGATAAAGAGGTAGACAGACACAGGATCTGAAGCAGGCTCTGCACTGACCACAGTGAGCCTAATGTGGAGCTCAATCTTATGATCCATGAGATCATGACCTGAGCCAAAATCAAGAGTTGGACACCTAACCAACTGAACCTCCCAGGCCCCCCCTTGATGATCAGTCATGTTGAGAATCTTTTCATGTGTCTATCAGCCATCTGTATGTCTTCTGTGGAAAAATATTTATTCAGATTCCCTGCTCATTTTTAAATCAAATTGTTTGGGGTTTTTTGGTGTTGAGTTATATAGTTTCTTTATATATTTTAGATATTAACCCCTTATCAGATATATTATTTGCAAATATCTCCTATTCACTAGGTTGCCTTCTTGTTTTGTTGATTGTTTCCTTTGCTGCACAAAAGCTTTTTATTTTGTTAAATTTTTGCTTTTGTCTCCTGTGCCTTAGGACACATGGTAGGAAAATGTTGCTATGGCTGATGTCTGAGAAATTACAGCCTGTGTTCTCTTCTAGGATTTTCATGTTTTCAGGTTTCACATTTAGATCTTTAATCTATTTTGAATTTTTTCTTGTGTGTGGTGTTGTAAAGTGGTCAAGTTTCATTCTTTAAAGTCAGCTGTCCAGTTTTCCAGCATCATATATTGAAGAGACTATATTCAATAAATTGTATATTCTTGCCTCTTTTGTTATAGATTAATTGACCATATACAAGTGGTTTCTTTTGTGTTCCATTGCTTTATGTCTCTATTTTTGGGCCAGTACCATACTGTTTTGATTACCACTACTACTTTGTAGTGGTTCTTGAAATCTTGAATTGTGATACCTCCAGCTTTGTTCTTTCTCTTAATTAATTTAGGTTAGGTTCCCTTTGATTTCTTTTACCAGTGTTTTGTGTTTTCAACATGCATATCCTGCGTATAATTTGCTAAATTTATAGGTATATATATTTCATTGTTTCATGTTATTATAAATAATATTGCTTTTTAAACTTCAATTCTAATTTTTATTGCTAGTATATTGAAAAATAATTGAATTTTATATATTGACTCTATAATATGTGACTTTGTAACTCTCTGATAATTCTAGGAGTTCTCTTCCCCTACCTGTTTTTAGATTCCATAAAGACTTTCTAAGTAGAAAATCATGTAGTCTATAAATAATGGTAGGATTATTTCTTCCATTCTAATCTGTGCACCTATTTCTTTTCATTTTCCTTATTGGCATGATGCTGAATAGGAGCAAGTGATCATCCTTGCTTTTTGATGGTTTGGGGGAAAATATTCAGTTTTTTACCATTAATTATGGTATTTATTGTAAGTGTTTTAGAAAAATGCTATTTATTGGATTTTTTACTCTGAATGGATGTGGAATTTTCTAAAATGCAAACAACATTTTATACATATGTATATATATAAATACATTTATATGTATTTATACCGTAAATACAACAAGTTTTGACTTAAGTTAGCATGAGGCATTTGATTCAAACTAGACACTACTTTGTTAGTATTCTTGATATTTCCATGAGGATGCTGAAAACTTCCAGTAGAAAAGTAAGACTTATAGTTAAAGATGAGATAAATTTGTGACCTTAGATTAAGTCATATGACTCCTTTTGAGCCCTAGGTTTCTTATCTCAAAAAAATGGGTATAATGCATCATAAAAATGTTACATCAAATAAAGTATTCTGAATTTATGACTAACTGGTCTGATGACCTAATTGGTCTGATTTTAATGAAATATAAACACTTTGCGTCAAGTTAAAAAATATCAAAAGTTTAAGTTGTATAATTCTGAGAGAACTAACTTGTTATTCATCAAAAATTGTGTTTGCTTTCTGGGTACATAGTAAAGATTTTATTTCTCAGCCTCCCTTGGAGATATTTGTGGCTTTGTGAGTAAATTTGAGCCAGTGTAATGTGTGAAGAATATTGCATGCCATTTCCAGTCCTGGTTCATAAGGACCCCTTGTGAGCAGTCAATGTTTCATTCTCCTTCAGGCTAGTGGGCACGGACACAATCAGTGGTGAATTTGAAGACTGCAGAGCTGCTGTGAACCTGGGTCCCTGAATTAATACATGGATAAAAATACCATGCCAGTACATTCGCCTTTCCAGTAATGGTGTGTGAAGAACAAAATAATCTAAAGTATTTGGATCACTTGGAGGTACATTTATTAACAGTAGATAATTCATATAGTTTGAAAGTACTATATATTTTTTTAATTAGGGAAAATGAATATTCACATTTGAGCAATCCCAAATGGAATAGAAGTATCCTATTTCAGAGGTGGGCACAATTTATGATGAAAACATATGAATCAAAGGTAAAAAAGAAAAATAACTTTTAAGAGGTTGTTAATCAGGTGAAGAATTCTAGGGGAGGATATTTGTTTGGGTGTTTGTTTAAAGATAGGCTTGATAATCAAAGTAAGGGCCCATAATAGGATATTCCAAGCAGCAAGGAAATTTAGTTTATGTAGCTAGAAACTTTATCCACTACATCTATAACTGTGTCAGACACAGTGTGTAAGCAATGTTGATTTAGGAACTGCTAAGTGACTACCAGAGAAGCTAAAAGATTTATATGTACCTAAAAGCAATAGGAACTATCAAGTATGTATTTGGCTCACTAATAATTTCTGTAATTCTACTTTAATACTGAAAAATATTTAAAAACATTTAAACAGAGTTAAACAGTACTTAAGAAATAACCAACAATTAGGGGTGCCTGGGTGGCTCAGTCGGTTAAGTGTACAACTTTGGTTCAGGTCATGATCTCACAGTTCGTGGGTTCGAGCCCCGCATTGGGCTCTGTGCTGACAGCTAGCTCAGAGCCTGGAGCCTGCTTCTCATTCTGTGCCTCCCTCTTTCTCTGTCCCTCCCTTGCTCATGCTGTCTCTCTCTCTCTCTCTCTCTCTCTCTCAGAAATAAATAAAACATTAAAAAATTAAAAAAAAAAGAAATAACCAACAATTAAAATGTGAAGAGATAATAGATTCATGTGCTTTTGGTGCAATAGAAGATTGTTTAGATGTCAAGGTTTATTTTATCCTGCCAACAGTGTTATTAATCATCGTTCCTCATTTTCTTTCACTGGTGGGATTTGACAAGGATTTTATTTCATCTTGAAAAACTGCACATAGTGGAGAGTTTCTTCACTTTATTCCTTCAGTCTTAACATACCCTACTGAGTAAAGGTAAATTGCTTTTTACTCTGTATTCTGTTATATTTTTGAAAAATGGTTTTCAAATTACAGATTTGATTCCTCTCTTGGTACTGAAAGATCATAAACAAATACGTTTTTATATTATTTTTCTTTAGTAAGCTTTATGATTTTATCTTCAACAACTGGACTAATTCAATAAGCAGCAGACCGTAAGGCAGTAAATGGATACAATATTAATTTTTATTGCTAAAGTTTCTTTTATGCACTATTTGATCTAAAGATGTTATTCACATTTTTATGGTGATCCTGGCAGACTTTAAAAATCTAACTCTATAATTCCTATTGATAAAGCCTGGATATTTTTAACTCAGCAGCCCAGGGAGTGGCAACAATTCATATCTCACCAGCCAGTTCATTAAATGAAATTCTTGAATGAGAAAGGGAAAGCAAAATAAGTAGGTTGTAGTTTAGTGGTCCAATCAATAGATTGCAATTGGGGAGGTTTAACTGCAGTGCTAATATCAGGTCACTACGAGAACTTGGTGAATGATTTATTCTCTACTTTGTTCACCCTCAAAATGAAAAGAGTAGACCTGAATTACCTCAAAGATAGCTCCTTAAAATTGCTTTGATTCTGTGGTTGCACTGAATTGGAGCTGAAGCACCTGACCATTAAAACAGAATGGTGAAATATTTTTAAAAAAATCAACATAAAAGGTAAACAAGGATGTGCCTCATTTCCAGATGGAAATGCATTCTGCAGGGCCTCATCGATGAAACTATTTTGCTGCTAATTTTGAAGTTGTGCTAATTGATAAATACAGCAGAATCTCCCACTCTAGGCTCACACTGATGAAATCAATGCCCTCAATTTATATGCCTTCATCTCTGAAAATCATGTATGTCCTATAGAGAAATGGAAGTGATGGATGCAGCATAAAACACTGGGGTGGTAATGATAGTACAGGCCTTTAAAAGGACTGTATTACGTCAATTTGGCGAATATTTATTGAGGACTTCATGGAACTGCAAATAGACACAGTCCGTGCCCACCAGGACCTTAATCAAAGAAATAAGATCCAGTCATAAAAGATACATAAAACTTAATTAATAATCACACAAAAGCTATTTTAAATCTGTTCAGTGCTACATGCTAAATGACCGGTGTGGGTATATAAAGGTGAAGTAACTCATTTCGTGCTGGTCTGGCCTGGTCTGGGATATTTTATGGGCATTCAGTTTACTTTTCAAAGGTTATTTTGTGTTAAGCAGTATTAGACCAAAAAGATTATTATCTTTACATCTGTGAGGCAGACAATAAATACCACGGACACTCAAAGAGGAAGACATGATTCAAGTCTGGAGTACTCTGAAAATCCTTTATGGAAGACATAAGATATGAATCGAGGATCTCCTAAAATCTATGGCAAACATAATACTTAATGATAAAGTATTAGAAACTTTCCTCTAAAATGAGTAATGAAACAAAGTATAGTCATTCTGGCTGTTTCTATTTAACATTAGGATAGGGGTCCTTGTAAACATATTAAGATTAAAAGCAGTAAAGGAATGAGAATTTGAAAGAAACATGCAAAACAGACAGGATACTGGATACAAATCTATAATAGACACTATTTAAAAATTTTTTTTAATGTTTATTTATTTTTGAGAGAGAGAGACAGAGAGAGAAAGACAAAGCGTGAGCAGGGGAGGGGCAGAGATGGAGACACAGTATCCAAAGCAGGTCCAGGCTCTAAGCTGTCAGCATGGAACCTGACGAGGGCTCCAACTCACCAACTGCAGATCATGACCTGAGCTGAAGTCAAATGCTCAACTGACTGAGCCACCCAAGCACCCCTAATAGACTTTCATGAGATACAGTTTATATACCATGCAATTTAACCTTATTTAAAGTGTACAATTCAATGAATGTTTTATATTAATTTTAGTATATTCACAATTGTGCAACTCTCGTCATGATCTAATAATGATAAACTCCATGTTTAACTATTTGAGGAACTGCCAGACTGTTTTCCATCTGCATTTCATTAGTTTTTACTTTTATTGACAAATAGTATTCTACTACATACATAAACCAGATTTTATTATCTTTTAATAAGTAGATGGGTTGTTTCCACATTTTGGCTGTTATGAATAATGCTGCTATAAACATTCATGTACAAGTCCTTGTGTGGAGGTTCTGTTTTTATTTCTCGTAGCTAGGAGGAATTTCTGGGTTATAGGTAACTCTATGTTTAACCATTCGAGGGACTGCCAGACTGTTATCCATATCCACCATCAGTATATGAAATTTTCAATTTCTCTACAGCCTCATCGAAAACTGTTATCTGTCTTTTTGATCATTGTCAATCTAGTAGGTATGAAGTGATGTCTCCTGGTTTTGATTTGCATATCTCTGATGGCTAATCCTGGTGACACCTATTTTCATATACTTATTAGCTACTTGTGTATGATCGATGGAGAAATGTCTATTCAAATCTTTTGCCTATTTTTAATTGGTTTATTTATCTTTTTGTTGTAGGCTCATGAGAGTTTTTCATATATTCTGAATGCAAGCCCCTCAGCTGATATATGATTTCCAAATATTTTCTCTCATCTTATGGATTGTATTTTCATTTTCTTGAATGTATTCCTTGAAGAACAAAAATTTTAAATTTTGATGAAATCCGATTTATCTATCTTTTTTGTTGTTGTGTTTTTGAGTCATATCTTAAGAATCCATCATCTAGTCCAAAGTTATGAAGATTTATTCCTGTATTTTCTTCTAAGAGTTTACGTGCTTTAGTTCTCACATTTATTTTGAGTTAATTTCGTATATGATCTGAGTAAGATATCCAAATTCTTTTTATTTTTTAAATTTTATTTATTTATTTTTGCAAGTATCTGGTTGTTCTAGCACCATTTGACCATTTCTTTAAAAGACAATGTTTTCCCCATTATATTGTCTTGGTATCTTTGTCAAAAATCAGTTGATCATAAGTATGACTGCCTATTTCTGGACCTAAAATTTTTTACATTGTTCTATATTTCTACCTTATGGAATAGCACAGTGTCTTAATAACTAGCTTTATAACAAATTGTGAAATCTGGAAATGGAAATCCTCTAACTCTATCCTTTTTTCTAGGTTATTTTGGCTATACTGGGTCCCTTGAATTCCCATATGCATGTTAAGATCTATTTGTCAATTTATGCAAAAATGTCACTAATTGGCATTTTGTTAGCAATTGTGTTGAATCCAAAGATCAAATTTGAGAGTATTGCCATTTAACAATATTAAGTTTTCTGACCCTTAAACATGAAAGGATGGAGAGGATAGATGAAACTTGGATGTGAAGACTAGGATGTCCATACTCATGTGTGTGAAAACTGCAGAGGGAATGATGGATGATGGGGAGGAGAGATGGTTAGGGGCCTACATTGGTACTCTAACCTGGACTCTGCAAATATAAACAAAGTCCTGGTTTTTTTCATCTCTTGTTTTTTATTTATACCTGGGGTAGAGAATGTTACTTTGTAACTCAGAGCCTGTTCACATGCTTTTCTCTTTGTCTTGCATGGCTTCTTTTTATCCTCAATTTCTTAATTCCCTGGTCATCAGCCTTTCGGGCAAACTCTTCATCTTTTCATTTCTTAACTTAATGTTGCTTCCTCAGGGACACTTTTCTTAACAGCACATGCTATGGTAGTTCCCTCAATAACTGGCCTAGAAAACCCTAGTATGTTTTCCTTCATGGCACATACTCACAGTACTTAAAATTATATAGGGTATAATGCACCAATGTACTAGCTTCTAGACATAAGTTCCATGGCAGTTGTTGGCATGATGTCTTTTTTATTTATAGCTGTTTTCTTATCGCCTGGTATGGTGTCTTGCACATAATAAACATTTAATAGATGAATGAATACATGAACAAATAAATAGAAAAATGAATGTGTGGTAATATCTCCATGAAATCAGAATTTTTCCAATTTTTTTCTAAATCTTTGGAAGCCAAAAATAATATGGGAGGCTATTTTAAGTTTTGTGCAATGCAGGGTACTATTACTGAGTTTGGGATTTGAGGAACAGACCAATTACTGCTGTTTTTGAAGATACAGTTCTGTGGTAGGTGGAATAGTGAATCCTCAATGATGTCCATGCCCTAATCCTCAGAACCTGTGAATCTTACATTGTAGGCGTGATTCACATTATTGACCTTGAGATAGGGAGAGAATCCTAAATTATCCAGGTGTGCACAATATATCAAATGTGTCTTTAAAGTCAGAGAATTTTTCCTGGCTATGTAAGAGAGAAATGGCCATGTGAGAAGGATTTGATGCCCCATTGCTGGTTCAGACATGTAGTGGTTTATGTGCAAGGATTAGGCAGAGGTCTCTAGGACCTAAACGTGGCCCCAGATGTGGACAGCCAGGGCACTAAGTCATCAGTCCTACAATTATATAGAAATGAATTCTGCAAATACTAGAATGAGCAGAAAATCTAATCTCTTCTAGAGCCTACAAAATGGAAAGCATCCGTGTGAACACCTTGATTTTAGCCCTGTGAGATCTGTATCAGTCTTCATACCTAGAGAACTGTAAAATAATAAATTCATGTTGTTTTAAGCCACTAAATCTGTGGTTACTGGAACATGGATAATAAATGCAAATTCTTGTCCAGTTCTGAGCTGTAATGGGTCTTCAACATTGAAGTATTTTCTTTTAATCTGAGGATAATGCTCTTTACTGTCCTTAGATCGGGGAATACTAATTGTTTTCTTTCATCTTATTCATTTATATGTTCAATCTTATATATATAAATATAGCAGTCTCATACTGCTGTTAGAAGAGTTTGCAGACATTTCTACCACATTCTTGAAAAATTCTTCTCATGACACACTGAAATCATTTTCAAGAAAGGTTTAATTTCAGATGCAGTGCAAAACATATATCCTAGTTATCAGTGGTTTTTCCTTTAGTTTTACATATACTCTGTACATGTGAACAGTTAATTTGCATCTTTTAAC